AGTGTGCACACAAGACCGACATCTCTGGATGTACAAGGGGTGGATCTTCTGCTGGAACATCGCAGAACCCCACGAGACTGATAGGGTGCTCCGCCAGTTTCGGTGCCACCAGCCCATCCCCCAACAGCCGCTCATTACTAGTCTGGCCGACTGGGACACCCGCCACAAGGGCCAGGGCATGACTGGGAGGGCATACACCGATTGGCAGGCCTTCCATGCTGATCTTGGGAGGATCTGGACCGAAGAGAGAGATCAGAACGTCCTCCAAGATGTCCCGGTGGATCCCTTCCTGCAGCCGGCAGATGGGTACATTGATTGGTTTCACAGTAGGACTGTGAGACTATTCAATGACCCCAACAACGTCGCGGCGATCTCACAGGACGGCGGGTTTCAGCCATATGCCGACCGGGAGAAGTGTCAGGTAACTGTCTTCAATGAAGTAATTATTATTATTATTATTAATAATATTTGATAGTTATTTGAATTTAATTTTGCAGTTTTCGGGTACGGAGGTGGCGTATAACATGCTAACGAACATTGAAGACATTGATACGCTACCTCCCCGAGCGCAGTCACAGTTCCAGCAAGCCCAGGAACTTCTGTACGCTTCTCTGACTGTTGGGGGTCAGTCGGTCACACAAGGGGCGTCGTCGGAGCAAATTCTATCTCAAGATGAGTACGCCCCACCCCAGCATACACATTCTCAGCGGGCGAGGCATAGACCGGCGCCCCACATTGGTGGAGGGAGAAGACGCCGTGACCACGAAGAAGGTGAGATTTTTTTATTTAACTACAAATATATATATTTTTTTTATTTCTTTTTTATTTCTTTGTCCGGTCGAATTATTGATTTTTTACAAAAATTAATTAATTAGATGGACAAGAAGAAGAAGAACCAACCACGCCTGCACCGACCGCAGGATCGTCTTCTTTGCAACCGGAGCCTCGGAGAGGGTCCCGAAACCGCAAGGCTAGGAAACCATTTACTCCTAGTTAGTTTGTTTTTGTATTCTGTGATTTTGTGGACATATTTTTTTTTTTGTATTGGATTTACAGATATTTATTTTTGATGGTTTTGGGTACATATTTTGTGGTTCACTTTTTTTTTTGTCGGTACTTATGGTTGTCTTTTTCTATATAGTGTTTCATATATGTATGCATGTTAGATTTTATCATTTGACGAATGAATTGATATTAAAATGATATTATTTCTTGTTCAAAATGTTAAATTGAAATTTATAAAAAATCTTAATATTGAAGGATAAGAATAAAAAATTCAGTTAAAATAAACGCAACGCGATCGCTGATAAACGAGTTCGTGAACATAATCGAGCCTTAAAAAAATTAAAAAAAAGAAAATACATAAAAACGGATTCTAAGAATCCGTTTTTCTTAAAAAAAAAATAAGAAAAAATCAAATAACAAAAACGGATTGCGAAAATCTGTTTTTAAAACAAACTCGGATTTAATTAAGGTTAATCACTTAATTAAACAAAAACTCACTTAATTAACGAAAAACGGATTATCAAAATCCGTTTTTCTTTCGGGATTAAGTAAAAACGGATTCTGAAAATCCGTTTTTTAGGGAAAAACGAATTTTCAGAATCCGGCTGTTTTAATTTTTTCCACATTTTATTTTTTTATTCTTATTTTTTTTCACATATTTTTGTTTTTTTTTATATAAATAAATGATTCTTTTAATGTAGCGTGAAGACAAAAACTATCTTTTGGAGTGTCAAAAAATATATTTTGAGGATTTATTTTTCCACTCCATTTTTCCCTCTCTCCTGGGGCCCAGAATCAAAATTTGACCCGAAGATATTATTGTTCTCTCTTGACTCTCTCTCATCGAAATTTTCTGCTGATTCTATCTTTTGAGATGACCCTCTTCTTTCGCTCAAAGCAATCTATCTATCGTCTCCATCTGTGGCTCAGTCCCTTAAGCTTCTCTCTCTCAGATCTCTCTTTCTCTCTCTCATCACTTGACAATGTGTGCTATAAATGGCATTCTTGTTTGCTCTTTTCCGTGGGTTTCAGTTAAAGTTTCGATCTTTACTGAGATGGGTCGATTCTAATAGCTCAATAAGGTTATGGGTTTTTTCTCCTCGAATATTTACTCTTATTGTCATGCATTTTTTTCCATTTTGATGTTAATTGTCGTGGCATTATTTTGATTTTGGTATTTTCATGTGTTATAGCTCCTTTGAGGTTGGCAGTTTTTGTAGGTTCAGTATTTTTTTTTTTAATAAATGGCCATTTCTGGAAATTGGGTTGTTTGAATTTGTCGATAAACATATTGCCCGTACGAAAGAAAAAGAACAAAAGAAATGGAAGGTGTAAAACATGTAGGGAAAGAGGGGCCTTGTTTTGAAGAGTATAATGTGCCTTATCAGTGTTCAAAATCAATTGCAATGCTACCTTCACCCGCTAGCAATGGCTTTAGCAGCTTTGTTTCATTAGCATCTTCAAGCAATGTGAGTTTCTCTGTATGGCTTTTTGTTATTTATGTATTTGTTGTAATTATTGTTATTTCTGGTTCAGTAGTATGATTTCACATTTATGAATCAGCTTATATGGTTGACATAGCAAGAAGAACCCAATATATCATTTCAAAGTTGGCTCCTTGTGCTACACTAGAAAGTGCTCCTAGACACTTGAAAAAGTGATTCTCAGCTTTTGGCATGATTCGTTTAACTTTTCTCTGAAATATGCATAATATTTCAAGATCTAGCTGCAAGAAAATGTGTCATCTATGGACTTCAGGATTTTCTTCTGATTTAATTTTTTACATGAATATATCATTGCTGTTTATCCAACAAGCACTTTCTCTTGAACGTATGCAAAAGTTTCATATTTTGAGTTTCTCAAATAGTTTTTCACTTGTGCTAAAACTGATTCAGATCCTTTAACAGACAATGTGTTTGTCAACACTCCATTTATGTTTCTGATATTAGTCTCATACGGAAGGAATCAAAATTGCATTTGATCTTTGCATATGGACAAATAACCAAAATATCTCATGGTTCATTCCATCAATTGCTTATAACTTTCCTCCAGAACATTTTGAGCATTGTCTTCTCCAGAATAGCAATTTATATTATATATATATATGCCTTATCAACAAATGATGCTGTCTGAAAATTGCTTGTTATATTCAATCACTCTGCTTTTTACTTGCTTTTTTTGTTTTTGGATGTTATTATTTTTAGATCCCTGATTAACTATAATGTTGCTTAAAAATCAATTCCCATCCATCTCACAAAATTATTGAATGATTACAGGTTGCTACTTCAAAGCAGAAAGTTCTCCCGAACTCAACAGGCAATTATTCTCATTGTTCTGTTGGATTAATATCCGAAAGCTCACTAAGGAAATCCAATCCCTTCATCTTGGATCTGTCGAACTATGAAAGACCGAATTTGACGATGAAGACTCTCAAGTACGATAATCTCGACTTTATTAATATCGTCGAAGAAAATAGTAGAACTTCCGAAAACAAAATTACATCGGATGACTATAAAGATGGAAATAAATTTTCTAAAGTTATGCTGAAGTCCGAGGTGCTTACTGGTGGTATTTTTGAAAGAGTTAAAAGGAAAAGATGTTCTTCTGTTGTGGAATCCTCGTCACAGTTGTATCAGGGATTCAAAGACTGTAATAAACCAGCTAAGATTGAATGGATTATGAAGGAGAGTCTGAAAGAGAAAGCTTTGGGAAATTCGGATGAAAATAGAGATATGCCAGACAGTGTCGAAGAAGGCTCTGGACAAGGTCCGCACTTAACTCCTGATGATGTCGTGAGAATTATTGGTCAGAGTCTCTTTCACAAAGCAAGACACACGATTTTGGAGTGAGTTTTCTTTATGTGCTTGTGAAATTACCATTCTTGTGTGCTGCTATAGATATCATTTGTTCTATAATTTTTTTGACTTTTAAGTTATTTTGAAAGGTACTTTTTTATTATGAAATGTTTTCAATCCACAGAAGAAAAGAACTTTCAAAATCATGAAACACCATGTCATATTTGTTTATGTTTTACAAATTACATGTGGTTGAGTTGGATAGAATGTTTGTATTCTTGAAAGATGCCTTTTTATCTTCTTTTTTGTTAGAACAAGTACACTTGCCTTGAGTAGCTCTTAGTTAGCTTATTACCAATTTCAATCTCTTTCAGTGACAAGTAATTCTCAATTTCTGGTTAAATTCGGAACTACGGAATTTTAATAGGTTTTGCCCATGCATATAATGAATATTTCACCATGTGTGCAGCCAGCAGAAAATATTTTCTAGCCAGATACTCGAGTTACACAGACTTATAAAGGTAACAAATTTCTCTCCTTTTTTCTTTTGTCAAAATTGTTTGGCTTCGCCACTCTGTGATTTGTTATTAATCATTACCAAACAATAACTGTTATAACAGGTGCAGAGGTCTATGGCCAGATCACCACAAAAGCTACCCGAAAAAAACTTCAATCTAAACAAGCCACCAATCCAATTCTCCCTTATGGAGAAGCTTCTCTACGCAAATCCTCTCGATCGACCGAAAAAATTCGACACCCTAAAATCTAATTCCGAACAAGTACACTTTCCTCCAAAGCTTCCAATGACCCCAAATATCCTTTCTAGTACCGATGCTAAAATAGTGCCACCGTATATTTTGCATCCGCCAATTGGGAACCAATGGCTGGTCCCCATTAAATCGCCATCTGAGGGACTCGTTTACAAGCCTTATCCCAGGCCTTATTTCCCTACCAGCAGCATTGCCTTTGACAATGTAATTGGTCAAGGTTATATTTGTAATTACGCCATGCCACCAGTAAATAATGCTAGTGCTGAGAATATCCAGTCCAAAGAGGAGCCGGTGGAGAAAGACGGTCTCGCCCTTTTCCCTATGACTCCATTGGGGGAGGTGTCGAAGGATGGAAATGACGACAGTCGAAATACGAGAGTAGTCAAAGTTGTGCCTCACAACAGGAAATCGGCACCGGAATCAGCTGCACGGATTTTCGAGTCTTTGCAGGAAGAGAGAAGGGTTCTTCGACTTTCTTCATGCACATGACTTTGTCGTGAGTGATTTTTTTTACTGATACTTCTTTGCTTTGAATTGTTTATTTAGTGTAAATACATATACTCGTATGGAGTAGATAAAAAAGGTAGATACTTTTTCTTTCAAATGTCGGATATTTTTGTCATACGTAGGTAAGAGAGATGAGATTTTTTATTTTTTATTTTTCCTTAAAAGAAAGTTTGATAGTGTTTGTTTGTTGATTTTCATCATACAGGAAATATATACCTTGTAATAGCGACCAATTTTTGGCAATATGATTGTAAGAGTCGATCGATTATTAATACTACTATGCTTGTTTGTTGAATTTTCGCCCTTCTTTGTCTGATATCAAGTTCAATCGGGTTTATGACTGTTGCGTCTGATTCATCGATAATCAGTCTACTGTTTATGTTTTTAGTAATAAACACACATGCTGCTTTTTACTCCTGTAACTCCCATTTACATCCATCCATAACATATTCTAGCATCATTTCTGTTATATACTAAATTACTATCAGTGCACAATTATAACATCATTGGGACATTACTTCAGCGAAAGTAGAATTAGCTGCATGCATACATTAGGACATCCAAAATGAGCCCTTTTTATCTATTCCTCATTTGAATATGCCACTTCCATTGTCCATAGAACACAAATTTAAATTTCATTAAAAGCATGTGATGAACCTTCAAAACTGTCAATGCTCAATACATCCTCATAATTTGGACACACTGCATCTGCATGTAACCAATCCAACTTTAAGCAATATATCAGCAAACAACCTCTGTTTCTTTCTCAGCCTTTCTTAGCTTACAGTTAGTTCAATCAACCACTTGCTTTCCCAACCTTAGATACTCAACAATTTCAACCAGATCACAAAAAACTGAACTCTCCAACACCAAATACACTTACAGTAACTCAAATATTCCCCTGTTCTACAAATCATACATTACTACTTCCCTTCTTCTTTCTTTCCTTTCACTCTTTCACTCTCACTCGATCTTCCACGCGTACAAAAACAGACAAAAATTGACGCACTTGGCATAGCTCTGTATCGAGTAATACTTACTATTCCCACTGCATTCACTCTCATCCCCTTTACTGCTTCCATCCTCCTCCTCCTCCTCCTCACTCTCCCCTTCCCCTTCCCCCGACTTGAATATAAAAAGCCCGTGATTCGAGCCCGGTGGACAAAACATCCATGCATGCACGTCCCAATAAACCTGCACAGCCTGCTTATCAACAACCACCGTTTGATTCCCTCTAAACTTCCACTGCAGGTTCTTCACATGCACGAGCACTATCCCATCAATACTGATCCACATCTCGGGCTCCCTAGGGCCCGAAGTCGAGCTCTCCACGACAATCTCGTGCTCCCTCCGCCGCCTCCGGTCAAACCGGGCCCTCGTGGAGAAAGACTTTTTCCCGAGCACGTGTTCCTTCTTGTAGAAGAGCAACGGGTCGACGATTGCGGGCCGGGCCTTGGCCCGTTTGTAGGCCTTTTTTTTTTGGTCTCCGAGGAGGAGGACGATTTCGTCATCCTCTGATATGAGGGCGACGTAGTAGTCTGAGGTGGGCTCGGGCCCACTGGTTGAGAATTTGGCGGAGCGGAGGTCCCAGTAAGCGTCGAGGTGGGTCTCGCCGTCGAGGTGGAGGGTCTTGAAGCCTTTCTTGGCCCAGAAGTGCCAGGGCTTGAGGTCGATTTTGGAGGTGTAGACGAGGTTTTCGTGGTCGATGGAGATGGTGAGGGAGTAGTTCATGAGGTTCTTGGACCAGAGGATGGTGACTTTGCGCCAGAAGCCGGAGATGTGGGCTTGGTAGACGCACGTCACGCTTGTTTGACATGTTTTGGTGTTTTGGCTTAGCGCGGGTTGATGGGAGGAGGAGACTGATTGGGACCTCGAGGTGACACGGTAAGCCATTAAGGAGTTATTTGGAGAAGGGAATGCAGCAAACAAAGGTTGAATTCTTGATGAAGGGGGAAAGATGGGATTTTTGTGTTTTTGGATTTGTTTGATCAGGAGATAGAGGCATGGAAAATCAGGAGAGAGAGAGAGAGAGAGAGAGAGAGGAGAGAGAGAGAGAAGGAGAAAAATGGTGTGGAATTTTGTGGAGGAAAATATGTGTGTGTTGGGGATAGTGGTTGACCTAAAAGAAAGGAACTCCAAAATTAGAAGGTTATTATTTTATTCCACAAGCATCAAGTTGCTTTTCAGTTTCCATCTTCTTTCTTTTTGGGTTGACTACTTGTGTCGGGGAGAAAATTCACAAGAGTAATTGAAGTCTGATATTTATATTGATTAAAACTCCTATAAATTATAAGAATTTAGGAATTATCTACTCCTATAATACAAGGTACTCGGTCTAAACAAACTCTTTTCGGCTAATGTCGTGGGATAATGCATACTCATTTACTCATTTACTCATTTAGGTGTACGTGATTTAACTGTGAAATAAATATGCCAAAAATTTTGATTCGCTAGTCAATATGGTGTTATTTGGTCATTTTCATATTTTATTAAGTAATTTTGATTTTTTAAAATTATTGTATTTATTATTTTATAGATATACTTAAAACTAATTGTTGACATCCGAGTTGGAAAGCATGAGTTCGGAGTTTAATAGAGAAAATTAGAGCTAAGTGCGAAAAACAGAATATCAAATTAGACCTCATTCAGTACCCAGATCGGTTTTTTAGAAAAGAAGGTTGACTTGGAAACGAGGACACAATGGAGGCCGATGGTCGGAACTTAAATAAATGCTGAGGAGAAAATATTATAATAATACCACTTTAAAATGTCCGCGTTAAATGTATGTCATTCCCATTTAATGCCTAATGTAACCCGATGAACAATAACCGGACATATCTCACAATAAATAGTCCGAGGAATCCATTGAGAAAGGGTTCAGAAAAATTTCTATAACAAAGACATATGTTCTCCCATAAAATACTGTAATTAATACGAGCATCCGAACTCTCATTCCGAAAGATCCGACCTCATTTCTGCTACTCTTGCACAAGTTCATCGTTAATTACCAAACTTTAATTGCTTAACTACTTGATTACCAACACTAAATTGGTGCTTTGGGTTGGTCGAAATCGTTGATTTCCATTAATATATAATTATTTTTCATTTGAATTCTATAATTTATTATAATCTTAATATATGTTCTTTTGTTATGAGTATTTATTACATCAATGACAGATTATTTCTTTATATAGTATGAAATACTATTTATTAAAACCGGTAAAATAGATGGTAAAACCATATGAACCGTGTACCAATGACTCATGCGGCATAATTGTCGTATGATATTTATAACATTGGGCAAAGGAAACTAATTTACATATAACCAACTAAAAGAAAGTAATAAACATGTGTGCAACACAAGATTATATTAAAATTTGATATCCTTAACCAATATCAAGTACATAGGGAGAAATATCTCCCACATGTGACTAATTAGCACTCTGCCACTAATTAACACTACGCTGCAGTACAACATAGTATGATTAATAATAAACACTGTCCCACCCTTACCCATATGTGTTTTGCAGATGATACTTTAGTTTTTCTCAGGGCTGACTTCACTCAAGCTCATATCTAGCTGAACATCCTGAACTCCTATAATAAACTTACTGGTCAAAAAGTTAACCTTTCTAAATCCTCAGTCTTTTTCAGTAAAAATACCCCCATCGACATTCAAATTGGTATCTGCAATATTCTCCTGGGAATAACCTCTGTGACCTCATCCAAATACCTAGGTCTTCCCCTAGGTATAGGAAGGTCTAAAAATGCAACTTTTGCCTTTGTGGAAGAAGCTATTAACAAAAGAATTAGTGGCTGACAGAACAAAACACTTTCATTTGCAGGTAAGGAGGTTCTCATTAAAGCAGTGTTGGGGGCTTTACCAACCTATGCTTTCTCATGTTTCCTCATGCCAAAATCAGTCACTTGAAAAATCTCTGGCAAAATAGCAGACTTCTGGTGGAGAAGCAAAGACAAAGACTCCAAAGGCATTCACCGAAAATCGTGGGAGCTCAGCACACTGCCAAAGGACAAAGGAGGGCTTGGATTTCATGATTTACATCTCTTCAACAAAGCCTTTATTTCAAAACAATTGTGGAGGATCCTGTCACAACCCAACTTGTTGGTAAGCAAAATTCTAAAAGGTCTTTACTTTCACAAGAATGACTTCTTTTCTATCAAGGCCAAACAGAATAGCTCATGGCTTTGGAGGTGCTGGCTCAAAGTGAGGGATTCTATACAATGTGGCATGATGTATGAGATTTCAGATGGCAAAACCACTAAAATCAGAGGCCATCCATGGATTCCTAACTTCCCAGCCTTTAAGCTTTCAGGCAACAACTCCCTCAATGATGACATATGCTGGGTTAGTGACCTCATGGAAGATTCTGGCAGAAGATGGAACAGACAGCTTATAGAATAAAACTTTGAGCAACATGAAGCTACAACTATCCTGAGCATCACAGGCATGGATCCCCACAAACCAGACAGGCTTAAGTGACTCTGGAGCAAGAATAGCAAATTTTCTGTGGCCTCAGCCTACTTTGAGCTCACTTTCAAAAAATGGAGATTAATGGACCTACCTGAAGGGAGCCATAACCATCAAAAAATCAGGAATGCAAGACTGAGGATGTGGCATTTAAAAGTGAAAGGGAAGTTAAAACATTTCCTCTGGAAATGTTTTAACAACTCATTACCAGTACTATGCAATCTTGCTGCCAGGAAAATTGTACTTGACCAGGTTTGTAAACTCTGAGGTGATGGCTTGGAGTCTCAAGAACATCTTTTTTTCTCATGCAAAAGGGCAGCTCTGATATGGAAGTTATCTCCGGTCTCCTGGGAAGGAATTGCAGACCACACCGATTCATTCAAATCCTGGTGGATGAAATTAAGTGCTCTTCCCCATAACTCGGTATCAGAAGATAGAATGCAATTATCCACCTACATCTTATGGTGGATTTGGAAAACACGGAACTTGTGGATTTTCGAAAAGGAGTCAAGGCCTGAAAAAGCAACAGTGGATATTGCATGGAGAGAGTGGACTGAATTTGCTAGTATAAGGGGATAGTGGCTTTGATTATCTTTTGCCTGATTGTATATATTTTGCTTATCTTGATAGGTTTTGTTAACAAACTAGGCCCGTCCGGTGCAGTGGTTTGTTAATTTTGATTTTGTAGCTCTTGAGGTTACTGTTATTACCAAAGAGCTCTTAGGGGTTTGGATTTAATCTGCGGACTCAGAGCCTCTGCTTCTGCCGGAGATTACCCCAAACTTCTTTTGTTATTTAGGAAGGGATTCTTCCTCGATATTTTGTGTATTGATGCCAGTTGGCCATCCGAACATTGTACTTTCTCCAAGTTATTTATATAATNTTGATGTCACGTTGTCTTCAAAAGCAACGCAAGAAGGTGATTAAATATAATCTTATTAATTGAATATATAAGACATAGGTCTTAAATTTCTTATATTGTTTGGATTACTTAATCAAATTTTTTCTAGAGAAAAGAAATTTGATTTCTCAATGAGTATTTTGTACAAATATTATATTGTTGTATATTTGAAAATGAAAAAGATTTTGAGCACCAACGAATATTTTCAGATTTCTCATAATCATATTTTCATAGTCAAAGTCGTTTCTTCTTTAAATATTTTGTTTTAAAATATGGTAAATGAGGGAGACAATATTTGAATAGGAATACATCTTACAATTTAATCATTGAAAATATGGAAAAAAACTTGCCATAAATTAGGAAGAAATAAAAAGAAAAGATGTTATTATAAAATTGATTGGTACAAAATGTCTTTTACGGATATTATGGTAATTATAATGCTTAGTTGGCAACCGAGGTTGATTTCGTGTCCGTCCAAAACATATCATTGTGCCAAATAAGATTACGAAATGTAAGAGCTTGCCACTTAAGGTCAACACGTTTTGAAATTATATACTATCTCCTTTTTTTTTTTTTCTAAATGTCATTTTGACTTTATCAACAATTAACCAAATAAATAACATTTTGGATTTTTTGTACATATTTTTCATTATTACCATCATATTCACTCTTCATCTTTTCTCAAAACATTCATCTCTATCCTCATTAATGAGGGTTATTATTGGCAAACAAAGATGAGAAATGTTATAGGTACATAACATTGTACACATGGCCCATGGGTGTACATAACACTCACATTGAGTGAGACCCACGAAAATAAAAAATCAAGTAGACTCCACTCTATATGAGTGCTATGTACACCTTTATGTACATTTATTATGTACTTGTAGCATTTTCTAAAAAAGATTTTTAATTATTGTGCAACTTCTCGAAACGACACTTAATAAAACTTGAAGGGAGTGCAAAGGAATTTTCTGAAGATGTTGTCAAAAGTCATAACATACATTGCATAAGTTACTAAAATGCATGTCTTTGTAAGAACATATATAACAAGTAGACCAGACTATCTTGAGAAGAAAAACACAATAACTATTTTGAGAAACAAAGCCACATATAATCTTTCACACATAAACACACCCAAAACAAGTAAAAACCTAAGATTCAAAATCTGGTTCAACCCGAGAACAAGAGCTCTGCATCCTAACCCCACTAAAGCTAGCTCTCGACGCCATTATGTGGTTCAACGAGAGCTTCTTCTTCGGGCCTGATACGGGCCTCTGCTTTGGTGCACTGTGGGACCTCAATTTTGCCCTAAACGACTTAGTGTTCGCCATGTAGCTCGGGCAAGTCGAGAACGGGCTGAAGAAACTCTCTCCGCACACGCTCTTGGCTTGCGTTGTAGGGGCAGCATAGGCCCGGCCCGAATATCCGAATCTTGGAGTGTTTTGGGCCGTCGCGAATTTATAGTCTTCCTTCCCAAATCCCCAATCGAAATCTTGGTAGTACGGATCATCATAATATTGGGGGCTAATTCTTCGGGATCTCGATTTGGGCCCACACGTATCGATTTCAACTATTTTCGGGCTCTCGTCAAACGTGCTTAGGGACGAGAGCCTTTTGCTATGGAATTCGCTTCGGGTCTCGTCAAATCTGTCCTGCAAATTCGTTTTTTTTTTTAAAAAAAAAATGATTCTTTTTTTTATTTGTTGGCCTAAATCGGAGGAAATTTTGAAATTTTGTTAGGGCTCGGAATTTGAACATACGCTGGAGTTTTTAAGTCTCATCGAAGTGCGGGCCCTTTGGGCCCGGATGGCGGCCTGGGCCCGGAAAAGGGCTTGCATGCTGTGAAGAGTTGCTGCGGCTCGTTTTCTTACGAGGTAGCCTCGAACATGGGCCTGCAATTTCACCAGCCCTTTAAGGGCCCGTAGTGCTTTTCGGGCCTGTTGGTAGAAATTAAGTTCATATTATTAATCTATTTGCAAAGAGGCAAAGTTCAAATTTCAAATTTGTAGATTGTCCCAGGTAGGTAAGGCAATTATGTGTTGGGATTGCATTGGAGAATAATATAATATAAAACAGGGGAATTTGAATCTGAAAGATAAATTAAAAAAAAAAAAGAAAAAACAGACATTTTGTGCTGTCATTAGAGTGTTGGATTTTTGTGTTGCTTAAATTTCCAGCACATATATCTGTTCAAAATTTTAAATTCAAACAGGAAAAGTTCAAAATTATTACTTTAACCATTATATACATATATTTTCTTTTCAATCTGGAAAATTCAAACAGTAAAAATTCGAAACCCAGAAAAATGCCATTGGCAACATAAATTCAAGAACCGAATTAGTACACGATGAGATAAAATCAACAATTTAAACTAAGAAGAAATAAAATCAAATCCAACACTTACCAAATAGCCTCTGAACACAGTTTGAATCCTCACGGCGGCCAATCTCTCCCTGCCGCCGGCGGAAAACCCACCTCTGCCCTGACTGGTCAGCCGGACAACCGCAACCGCCGCCTGAGCGGCGGCGACGGCAGCGTCCGCGGCGGCGGCGGTGGCTGCAGCAACCGCAATGGCGTGCTTGCTGTGCTCCTCCTTTGAATCAGCAATCAGAGATCTCAGCCAATCGGAGTCCTTGGCCGGAATCTGACTCAACGGCAGAGATTCCTTGCCGGAATTTGCATGGCCCACCTTTTTCTTCGACTTCTTTTCAGTAAAGGTCGAGTTTTTATCCACATTTTCTTTATCTTTCTTGAGTCCAAGCAGACCCCTCAGCCACCTTGTAGCTTTTCCCATGTTTCTCGGCCCTTCGAATTTCAAAATGAAAAGGAGATAATAAAAATAAAATCAATTTTAGAAATGTGAGTTTAGTGGCAAAAAGGGTGAGTAGAAGAAAGAGTGCAATATGAAACTGTGTTCTGTGTAGAATGTTACCTATATATGCTATCAGCAGAGGAAACAAAGAACATGAATAATCAGATATAATTACAGAAGCCCCCCTTGACTTTGGTGTAATTACAGAAAGTGTAGAAAATTACAAAATTCTAGGGTGTGCTTTGCAAAAGAGTAGAAAAAACAAGAGCTATTTGCAATATTGAATTTTTATTGAATAAAAAAATATTGATTGTACTAATGAAAAACGAAGCATAAAAACCAAGTGCAATGAAATAATTAGAAATGGGAGCAAAGCTTTCATATCCTTCAGGCTATGTTTGATTCAACTGAGGGGAGGGGAGGGGAGGGATTTTAATGGAAGGAAAGGGAGGGGAGGGGAGGTGATGTAAAATAATTTTACCTTCTTTGGAGGGATTTGGAGGGATTTTGTAGGAGGGGAGTGGAGGGAAAATGGTAAACCTTGTTTGGTTAGAATAATGGAGGGGAAGGAAAATATTGTAGAAATGACAATTATATCCTTAATGATGTAAGAAACAAAATAATAAAATAATTTATACATAAAGGATAATATAGTCATTTATGTGTTAAAAATTTTCCCTCCCCTCCAAATTCCTCCACTTTTGGAGGGGAGGAGATTTTCCCTTAGAGGAGGGATTCGAAGGGAAAATATCAATCCTTCCTCCTACAAAAAATTGAACCAAACAAGGGAAAATTATAAAATTCCCTCCCCTCCCCTCCCCTCCCCTCAGTTTCCATCGAACCAAACATAGGGTCAANNATAAAAAAAAAAAAAAGGAGCAAAGTTTAAAAAAGAGTAATGCTATAGAGCCCACTTGAATAACAACTTGTGTTACAGTTCCATTGGAAAAGTATTACTCTCTCCTATTCATAATAAGTGTCGTTTTGGGAAATTGCACACTAGTTAAGAATAATTTTTTTGCCAATAATAACCCTCATTAATGAAGATAGAGATGAATGTTTTAAAAAAAAAAGATGAAGAGAATATAAAAAGACGTAGTGTATTTATTAACTAAATGAGGGTAATCTATATATCTAAAAAGGTTGATGTAAAATTTTTTTTTAAGAAACTTAAAAATAATTGAGTTGACTTTTGACTTTCTATTTATGTATTCTTCTTTAAAATCGAAAGAAAAATCGTGAAAATGCAGTGGATATTTCGTTAATTTAGCATGAAATTTGCGTTAATTAAGCAAATGGATATTCTCCTTAATAATGGTGATATTTTCATTAATTAAGCATGTGAAATTGATTGTCCGTTGCAAAACTCATGGGATTTACTATCTATCCAAATACAATCCATAACTATCTTATCACTTTTGGTTAATAAAAAATATGTGAAATTGATTGTCCGTTGCAAAAATCATGGGACTTACTATCTATCCAAATACAATCCATAATTATCTTATCACGGATTATCTTATCACTTTTGGTTAATAAAAAATTGTATAAAAGGATATTCACTACCACCATTACAACTCATCATTCATGAGTTCAGAGAAAAAAAAATACAGAGAATAATTTTTCATGGCATATACAATATAATGCTTCCAGGCTTTTCATCGCATATACAATATAATGCTCCCAGGCTGGGTACACTTGATTCCGTTAACAAAAGAAACAGACTTTTTTTGCGTCTGAGAGCGTAACGCATTCCATATACTGTTTCATGATGAACAGGTAATATTTACCTTTGTTATTTCAATTTTATATAATTTAGAAAATTATTTTAATTAATATTTATGAATTTGTATCGTAGGGTGCTTTCATTAAATGCATAATACGTTATCCGAATTTGAGAGCAACAACTTTATATAAACTGAGAGCAGTCTAATTTTTGTAAAATATGTAAACTTTAAACGTGCTTTTATATATAAAATTGTATATACTTTTAAACATGTTAGTTGGGCAAACTTTAAGGATATATATATATGTGTGTGTCTATGCTAACTTTAAGTATATATATTATTCTTATAAAATAGTCTAGACAGAATTGAGGTAATTTCACATTTTTCGATAATAATATAAAATATTTTAATACTTTCACATATGTTATATAATAGTCTACGTATTCTTAATGTCTTTTGGTTGTAACATTGTTAACACATATAATATTAGATACTTTTAAATATATTTAGATAATTTTTTTACTCATTCTTTAATATCTATGTGCTTAAAAGAAGAATAAGATTTATAAAAGATTTTCCGGCAATATACTAAATGTTAGATAAAAAATCTCATTTTATTTGTTATATAATATTTCGAGATGCATTAATTTTGATTTGTATGTGTAAACTTGATATATTAAGCGTATGAAAAGGAGCGTACGAATTACTGTAAGGATTTAAAAAATAAAAAATAAATCTAATTTTTTAATATTTTCTACTAACTTCTAAATGAATTTATGCCATAATTCGTCATAATTTTCCCACATCATGTCAATATTAATTTTATATATACTAGGCAAAAGGTAAATCATTATCTCAATATTTATTCTATATATTCTAAGTAAATCTTCTCATCTATCTCAACGAGCCGCAGGTAGTATTTCATACTTTTTTATTCATAATCAAATATATCAAAACTTCACAAATTTTACTTCACAAAGAAAATGTTCAATAATTTATATTTTTTTCCCTTCTTTGCAATCCATTTATTTTTGTTACATATATATAAATTATATTATTTTTAATATTTCACACGTTAAACATTTCAGGAAAATATACCATCCCGTGCATCGCACGGGCTACGCGCTAGTAATTAAAAAATATATACAAAAATCTAAAACGACATTTATTTTGGTTAATAGTTGATAAATAATATTTAAAAAGAATAGGAGGTAGTATTTTTTATTTTTTAATGAAGGGATAAAGAATTAAAGATGGAGATTTTATTATTTATTTATTTTAGTTACCTATTGTTATTAGGATTTTTTTTTAATATTTCATCCTGACACAGCCTCGTGAGAAACTGTTAAAAGACAAAAAGGTATGGCAGGTAGAAACAGAGAAAAATAATGCTACCCCTAGAATTTGAGATTGGGAAAAAAAATACTGAAATTTACAGAGATTTACAGACAGATATAGATATTCAGATANAGAAATTTCATTGATAATAAAAAACGTACATCCAGACACGGCTCAAAAGCCGAAAGAACAACCCACAAGCCGAATCTAGTGAGAGGACAGATCCAGAGGATCGCCTAAAACATCACACCAACAAACTCTACAAAAGGAGAAAGAACTCCCCTACGGGAGAAAAAGACTCCCCTGCGAGAGAAACAAACTCCCCAATGGGAGATAAAACATACAAAACCTAAAAACCATTACACTACGAAAACACAAAAAATACGAAACTAACAAAACAGTAAAATTTCTATTCCCACCAATCAGAAACTTAACAAGCTCACAGAAAAAAATGGAACAATAGAAAATGGAGAAAAGCACAATCATTTTCTTAACAAGCTCAAATTCCAGAACTTGTAACCCACTTATGTAGCCTAACAATCCACATTAGTGATTACCATGTTTTTGTTTTCTTGAAACTCACTCAAGAACAAACCTTCCTCAAATTCAAAAAAGGCACTCAATTTTACTTACTTTTAATTGAACATCTCTCTCTCTCTNNNAAAACTCTCTCTCATACTTTATATAGCTATAGCTACGTGTAGTGAAAATGGAAAAGATTATACTATAATGTAATGGTTGTTTAAACATTAATGCAGATTTTATTAGTTTAAACATTTATACTATAATGTAATGGTTGGCATTAAGTTTGTATATACGAGCCAAGATCTTATGATTTTATACATTACGTCAACTTTAAATCAACAAATCTTGCCCCGACACATTATTTTTGTCAAAGATCATGTTAAAAAATTGAGTTAAATAGCATTACTCAAATGGAAAATACTCAGTAGGGCTGAGCATGAGACTCGGAGAATTCTGAACCGTTCCGAAAACCAAATCGAAATCACTCCGAACCGAAAAAATAATTGGTACGGTTCTGGAGATTTCACAAATTTCTGTACTGAGAACCGAACTGAACCGTCTCATACCGTATTGAACCGAAGAACCGAATTATAACATTAGATATGTGTTATTAATATATTTTATGTCAACTTTGATCCTATATAATTTGAGAATATTTTTAAAATGCAAATAAAATATAGTAATAATAATTAAGCTTACATAAATTTCATGCTTAGTCATACTTGATCTACAATTAAATTTTATCTATTATACAAAAATAATTAAAAATTAAGATGGTATGAAAGGTTAAAGAATTTTTTTTAAGAAAAAACTATATTATATTTTGTTTGAATTTTAAATTTCCAATATTAGTTGCACAAATTTAGTCTTAATTAAAATTAGAGTTACTTCTAATATTGATTTCAAAATAAAATCATATTAATTCAAAATAAAATCTTTAATATGAGAAAGAAAAGATGATATGATGCATTTATAAGATAAGATGCATTTATAGAAACAAAACAGTAGCATTAACAAATAAAACCATGACATTTGATAAGATAAGATGTATTTGTTGTAAACACGTCAATAATTTATGACTTGAGAGCTTGTTCTTTATACAATGAATAGAAATCTTATTTAGTAATGTATGAATTTATTGCGGACATCCATTGTAGTAATATTATATACCTTACGAAATGGTGCGCATTGTGTAACCATCTTTATTAGTGATATTACTTAGTTATGGTTAATCACGTAATTAGAGTTAATTGTATAATTAGTTAGCTAGTGACAACTCATCAAAGAGCCAGCTAAAGGTTCTAATCCCTTGTGTATATGAACATGTCATCTTCAATGAAATCAGTTTCTATTGCTTTGATTTCTTGAGTTTGTAACATGGTAGCCACATTCTCGGGTCTTGATATTTTTCGGTTTAACTTTTTTCTCCGCCATGGTCGATTTTCATTCATCGTTGCTAGCACTGAGCTCTCTGCCTCACCTCACCAGACTCCAGTTCCGTTTTGCTTGGATCGTTCTAACTTCTCGTTTTAGAAGGCTTAAATTCTCTGCATCATTTGTGCACATGGATTTGAGAATTTTTTGCTTCATTCTACTTCGTCGTTGAAGTTTCTACCTATCGTTTATGATTCATCTCTGTCGTCTCCCAATCCGGCGTACACATTGTGGATGCGCACCGATTAGTCATTCTCAGCTGGATGTTGGCCTCGATTTCTGAATCCATGCTTGGCCACCTCACATGGTGCTCCACATATGCTGCCATTTGGTCGGTACTACCCCAACTTATTCATACTCAATCGAAAGCACGTATTCTTCATCTGAAAATTCAACTTCAAACCCTAAAAAAGGGTGATCTCTCAGTTGATGACTTTGTTATGAGTATGTGTACTTGTGCTGATGAATTGCTATCTATTGGTCACCACATTTTCGATGATGAGTTATGTACATTCATGGTGGTTTAGGATCTGACTATGAAGTTGTGATTGTTGATCTAACTTCACGATTGGATTTCATTTCATTGTCTGAGGTTCAATTCTCTCTTCAAACTCATGAGATGCGACAAATTTCTTCCTCTCCACTTTCTTTTCTGGCCATTTCATCTACTGCATATGAATCTATTCCTCCCGTCAATAATGTGAACTCTCATGGAAATTCCTCTTCTCATGGCAATTACAGAGTCCATGGACGAAATTCTCGTGGTCGTGGTGGTAGGTTCTACAAGAATAATGAGAGAGTTGTGTGTCAGTTGTGTGGTAAGGCTAATCATGTTGCATTAAAGTGCTATAAGAGGTTTGATATCAGTTTTACAAGACATGATGGTGTGTTCTCCTCTCCTCAAGCTCGTCTTGGTGAATCTACTGCATCCTCTCATGGCTCTGCCAATTCTAGCACTTCTGATCCCAATTGGTACTTTGACAGTGGAGCCACTACTCATTTGACTGCTAACCTTGACAACTTATCTCTTACTACTGCACCATATCAAGGTATTGATAGAGTAACAGTTAGAAATGACTCTAAACTTTCTATTTCTCACATTGGTCACTCACATTTTCCTACCACACATTCTTATCTTGTTCTCCTCAATAACATTCTCTTTGTTCCTCGCATTACTAAAAATCTTCTTAGCAACTCACTAAAGATAACAATATTGTTATTGAGTTTCATGCTGATTTCTGTCTTGCGAAGGACAAGAAAACTCAACAAGTGTTACTGGAAGGAATTCTTAGAGATGGTCTCTATCAATTGGATCTTTCTTAGTATGTTGCTCTTCTTCATCACTTCCTTCTAAGTAATCACTTTTATATTCATCTTTTTTGTCTTGTAAACCAGCTTCTCATGTTGTTTATGATGCTATGTTACTAACCTGGCACATGAGACTTAGTCATCCTTGTCAAAATGTGTTTAGAGCAGTTATGGACAATTTACACATTTTTGTAGCTTCTTCTTTACCTTCATGTGATAATTGTAAATTGGGAAAGTTACATAAAAAACACTTTGTATCTTAGCCCACTAAGGCTTAACAACCTTTTGAACTGGTTTATACTGATGTTTGGGGGCCATCTCATGTTATTTTTGTTGATGGTTATAGATATTATGCTCATATCATTGATGATTTCACCAGATACACTTGGATCTTCCCTTTAAAATCCAAAGCTGATGTAGCTTCTGTTTTCAAACAATTTGTTTATTTTGTTCACAATAAGTTTCATACTTCTTTAAATGTGTTTAATCTTATTGGGGTCGTGAGTACAAGCCTTCAGTTTCTTTGCTTAACTCACTTGGCATTAGTTTTAGACACCCTTGTCCTCATACTCATCAACAAAATAGAAGGGCTGAGAGAAGGTACATTCACATTGTTGAAATGGGACTATCTCTTCTAGCTCATGCCAAAATCCCTCTCGAATTCTGGTGCGATACTTTCAACACTACTGTTTACACCATTAACAGACTTTTCACTCATATTCTAAGTCAACATTCTCTTTTTTCAGTTGATTTTTAACTCCTCACCAGATCTTTCATTCCTAAACCCTTTGGTTGTGCATGTTTCCCATACTTCAAGCCTTATAACTTTCACAATTTACAACATCTAAATTTGTTTTTCTTTGCTACAGTCTTCATCATAAGGGGTACACGTGTCTTAGTCCTGAAGGCAAATCTTACATATCCATCACTACTTCACTCAATGATTATGAGTTCCCTTTTCAGTCCTTGTTTGCTCCATCCTCGCCTAAAGCTCCTTCTTCTGGCATTCATACATCTCCTTCTCTTTCTGTTTCTGTTCATGTCTTTTAAAATCTTTTCTTCTTCCTCAACCTCCTCACATTGCTCATGTCCTTAATATATCACATCCACCCATTTTTCCCATTGCATCTTCTTCCTCCACTTCTTCTTCTATTCCTGAAATTCTTCTATTTGTTCCCTTACCAATATATTCTCTCACTTCTTTCTCAGCATATGTCCTCTCCTCCTCCTCCTCTTCCTCCTCTTCCTCCTCCTCCTCCTCCTCCTCCTCCTTTGCCTTCCCACTCCATGATCACTAGATCAAAGGCTGGAATATTCAATCCAAAGTTCTTCTTTGCACATCTTACCTAAATTCATTTCTTAGAGGCAACTTCAACCGCTGATGCTATTTCTAGACCTGAGTGGTATGCATCTATGAGGGATGAATTTCAAGCTTTGTAGACTAATCACACATGGATTTTGGTGGATCATTCTCTAGACATGAAGGTTATCACAAACAAATGGGTTTTCATGACCAAATATAAGGTAGATGGTTCAGTTGATAAGCTCAAGGCTTGATTTGTGTCTAAAAGTTTTTGAGCAGATGGTTGGTGTGGATTTTCTTGAAACTTTCTGTCTGGTTGTTAAGGCCTGCACCATCAGACTGTTTTTTTCTCTTGCAGCTATTTTTTCTTGGACTATTCAACAATTTGACATAATGCATTTTTAAATGGTGACTTGTATGAAACTTTTTTTTTTTTTGCTCAAATTGAGGGGTTTGTAGACTCCATTCATCCTCATGATGTGTGCAGATTTACTAAATTTGTATATGGTCTTAAACAAACACCAAGGGCTTGGTTCAACAAGATTAGAGGATTTCTGCTCACCTTAAACTTCAAAGAGTTTGTCTCTAATTCATCATTGTTTTATCGAAGGATCAATGATGCATTGTTTCTAGTCTTAATATATGTTGATGACATTCCTATAACGGAGGATGATTCTACTGCAGTTCAACATCTTATTGATACTTTTGGTCAGAAATTTGCCTTGAAAACCATGGGAGAAGTCAATCACTTTCTTGGTTTTGAAGCTCTTAAAACTTCTAAGAGATTTGTCTTGAATTAGGCTAAATATAAATTGGACATTCTTGTCAAAATAGGAATGGTTTACAGCAAGCCTGCTTCCACTTCAATCTCACCTTCTCAGAAGCTTCATCTCCAAGACAATGACCCTTTCTTCAATCCTACACTTTATAGAAGTGTCATTGGTGCACTTCAGTACCTTACAATGTCCATGCCTATGATCTCTTTTGTTCTGAATAAACTTAGTCAGTTCTTATATGATCCTACCGTAAATCATTGGCTTGCTTGTAAGCATCTCCTCAGGTACATAGAAGGCATTCTTATAATTGGTCTTCAGTTTAAAGTTGTTCAGAGACTCACCCTAGCGGCCTACACTTATGCTGATTGGACCAACTGTGTGGATGATAGAAGGTCCATTGGTGGTCACTTTATTTTCTTGGGCCCTAATCTTCTCAATTGGAGCTAAAAAGCAACAAGTTATCTCTTGCAGCAGTGCTAAATCTGAATACAGATGTCTTGCCACTGTCACCTCAGACCTGCTTTGGATGCAGTTTCTATTTCATGAGCATGGTTTATTCTTTGAAGCTTCCTCTGTTCTCTTGTGTGACAATGTGAGTGCTGCAGCTCTTGCTTCAAACTCGGTTCAACATGCACGTACTAAACACATAGATTTTCACTTTGTTAGGGTAATCACTGTATAAATATAGTAATCACTAACTTCCTACCAGTCGCCCTTACAAATATAACAACACCTCGAGCTACCTTGCTAACTACTCCTGCCCTTATAAGGATAACAATACCTCAAGCTATCTTGCCAAGTACTCCAGGTTGCGATGACCTCATAGGGGTGTCCTCGTGTAATCTTCTGTTCCATAGGTCGCTTCTTTCAAGACCTCAACCTAATGTAGGCCTCTGTAATTTCTCAGCTTATTTCCTCTAAGTCTCTTCTCGACCTCATTACAATTAACCGGTTCACCAATAGGACTATATCATATAGCTTCATCAGGATGTTGGGCCACTTATAATTCTATCAAGAGAAATGCTGGATGTACAATATAGGTTTACAACTCTTACTTACAACCTTACGTGGCATCATAAAACTGAATATGTATTCTTTTATTTTACATACATAAAGAAACAAAAAAAAAAAATAATAAAAGAAATAAAGGGCTTCACATCTAACCCGTCAGTTTGCAAAATCCCTAATCGACCAAAATCCCAAATTGACGAGGAAGCCAGAAGATGGAGCAGCCCTCTGCAACACTGCAACAAATACACATCTAACCCGTTTGTTTACAAAATCCCTAATCGACGGAAATCCCTAATTGATGAGGAAGCCAGAAGATGGAGCAACCCTCTGCAACACTGCAACAAATACACACCCACGACACTGGATCTTCAGCAATGGTAATGAAAGACGGTGAGAATGGACCGTTGCTTGAATATGAAATTGTTAATACAGATTGTAGTACGAATACTGGTGCTCCGGAGGCAGGTATAGAATTCAAAGATATTGACAACGTATTTGATTTCTACAAACAATATGCTTACAGTGTCGGTTTTCCAGCGAAAAAAAGAAATTCGAGAAAGGATGATGATGGCGTCTTACATTATGTTACTTTCACATGTAGTCGTGAAGGACAAAGAATGAGTGGCACAAGGGGTACACTAAGGTCGCAACCAACAACTCAGACAGACTGCAAAGCTCAAATCTTGGCATCTTTAGATGATCATGGTTATTGGAGAATTAACACAGTTTATCTCGACCATAATCACAAATGTAGTCCAACTAAGTCGAGATTATATCGATGCCATAGAGAATTGAGTGCAACTGTAAAGCGAAGGCTTGAAGTAAATGACGTGGCCGGAATTCCATTGCATAAAAGCTTCAATTCTGTTGTAGTTCAAGCGGGTGGATATGAGAATATGACTTTTGTCGAGAAGGATTGTCGTAACTATATCGAAAAATTTAGACGGTTAAGCCTGGGAGAGGGGGACGCAGCAGCAATACAATCATATTTTATAGATATGCAAGCAAGGTGTGCTGGATTTTTCTTCTGCATGGATTTGGATGATGATTCTCGGTTGCGGAATATTTTTTGGGTGGATAGTCGAAGTAGATAAGCATATAAAGAATTCGGGGACGTCGTCACATTTGATACAACCTACTTGACTAACAAATATGACATGCCTTTTGCACCATTTGTTGGCGTTAATCATCACGGAGAATCAACACTTCTAGGTTGCGGGTTGATCTCGAATGAAAATACAGATACTTTCGTTTGGCTTTTTCGGACATTGCTTAAGTGTATGCATGATCAACGTCCTCAAGGAATTATCACTGACCAAGACAGAGCAATGCAAAATGCCATTCGGATTGTTTTCCCCAATACGAGACATAGATGGTGTTTGTGGCACATTTTAAAAAAATTGCCGAAAAAGTTTGGATATCATGTCGATAAAGGCTTAATTTTTTCAACAATACATGAATTGGTCTATGACTCCCAAACGGTTGAAGAATTCGAACAAGGTTGGGAGTCAATGACCACAACGTATGAGTTGTATGACAATGAATGGTTGTTGGGATTGTATGAGAACCGTAGTCTTTGGGTTCCATGCTTTCTAAAAACTTTTTTCTGGGCTGGAATGTCAACAACACAACGGAGCGAAAGCATGAATGCTTTTTTCGATGAGTACGTCCACTCAAAAACATCATTGAAACAGTTCGTTCACCAATATGAAAGAGCATTGAGAAACAAGGTGGAAAAAGAGGTCCAGGCTGATTTTAAGTCATTTTGCCAAATAGTCCCATGTGCAACAACATATGAGATGGAAAAGCAATTCCAAACAGTGTACACTATTTCCAAATTTAAAGAAATTCAAGCCGAGTTTGTGGGTAAAGTTTACTGTGATCTCATCTCTTCTTCAGAAGGTTATTTTGGGACAATTTACGAGGTCAGAGAAGATTTATTTTTTGGCCACCAGTGCAAGAAAAATTCATTTTTTGCTCTTTCAATAGGGATAAATATGAAGTGAATAAGATTTCACTCGGGCTCCTTCGACTCGGTCGGCCTCCGTACCTGCAAGAACCCAACGCCGGGAGGGGTCCCGGCGTCGGGCCTCCGACGCTCAAGTCAGAATCACTCCAAATCTGAAGAGTATAATTATGAATGTCCAGAGAGTGTGAGAATGGAATACCTTAGCCCCCTTTTATAGGGGGAATGTACCTTATGGCCCAAATTGGGCTTGTCCAATAGCGTCGTGCCACGTGTCCTAGCCATGTGTAGGCATATTCTTCAATATATTCCTCTCTTATCCATTAAGACTGGCCTAGTATATAATATCCTATATCATCTAGTCCCCCCCACTCTGGTCGAGTCTGAATGACTCGATCTAAGAGTGAAATTCCTTTTCGAGCTGTTTCCGTCAACCTGCCACTGAGGTTGTAATTTGAATAAATCATCGACCACCAAATAGTCACCAAATCTCCAAATGAGCATCGGGACCCCAAATAAATACCGAATGACCACTAAGGTCAAAAACTGAAAGACCCGCCACTGAGGTCGAATATTGAAAGACCTGCCTCTGAGGTCGAATACTAAGAGACCCGCCGCAGGGGTCGAACACCGAAAGCTGAATGACTACCGAGGTCGAGAACCGAGCGACCCGCTACTGGGATCGAATACCGAAAGTTGATCGAGCACCGAGGTTGAAAACCAAGTGACCCGCCGTTGGGATCGAATACCAAAAGCTGATCGACCACCGAGGTCGAAAACCGAGTGACCCGCCACTGGGGTCGAATACCGGAAATTGATCGAGCACCGAGGTCAAAGACCGAACGACCCGCCACTGGGGTCGAACACCGAAAATTGATCGAGCACCGAGGTTGGAGACCGAATGACCCGCCACTGGGGTCGAACACCGAAAGTTGATCGACCACTGAGGTCGAAAATCAAGAGACCCGCCGTTGGGGTCGAATACCGAAAGCTGATCGACCACCGAGGTCGAAAACCGAGTGACCCGCCACTGGGGTCGAATACCGAAAGTTGATCGACCACTGAGGTCGAAAATCGAGAGACCCGCCACTGGGGTCAAACACCGAAAGTTGATCGACCACTGAGGTCGAAAATCGAGAGACCCGCCACTGGGGTCGAAAACCAAAAGTTAATCGACCACTGAGGTCGAAGATCGAGAACCGAAGTCTTGAATTTTTAAAAATTTGAACTTACGTCTTGTTGTTTTTCGTTCACCATGTTCGAGCTCTCTTAGACCACCTCGTCCTATCGCCCCCCGGTTCAAAATTTAAAATTCAAGCCTGTTGTATATTTCCTCAAAATCCGAATGACCTTCGTGAGCTACTCTGAATGAACTTTCTCGACATGCCACCAAGGTCGAAAAATAAATTCGACGAAATCGAGAATCAAATAAAGATAATCGACCTGCCACCGAGGTCTGCTCGAACTATCCGTAATGAACTCCATCTCCCTTCTTTTGAAGTCGAAAAATAAATTCGACGAAATCGAGAATCAAATAAAGATAATCGACCTGCCACCGAGGTCTGCTCGAGCTATCCGTGTCTTACCGTCCCAACGCTAGGAACGACCACCCAGCCCGGAGGCCTTAATCATGGTGGATTTTGGTCTTCGAACACATGTCCACCCTCGAAGGAGTGGTCGCTACATGTGACCACCCAGCCCGGAGGCCTTAGTCATGGTGGATTTTGGTCTTCGAACACATGTCCACCCTCGAAGGAGTGGTCGTTACATGTGACCACCCAGCCCGGAGGCCTTAGTCATGGTGGATTTTGGTCTTCGAACACATGTCCACCCTCGAAGGAGTGGTCGTTACATGTGACCACCCAGCCCGGAGGCCTTAGTCATGGTGGATTTTGTTCGAGGCTCCAGGTATACCTCATTTTCTGCATTTTGTTAGTCACCCAAAGAATAATTCCAGACATATCCAGATACACTACAATCACATCAACATTTCACCCAAAATATTCAAACAATGAACATTCCTCCCAAAAAAGAATGCTAAGAGACTCCATATGTCACAAAATAGTATCAGTCGATCTTGACCATCGACAAGAGTTGAGATGAATTTTATACATGAAGGTTGAGCCTGTCACTCCCAATTATCCTACCTCTTTCCGAGAGAATGATTTCTGCCTCTGCAATTGCCACCTGCGATCGGCACCATCCAGACTCGTCCCTCCTTATCACCCTGCTTTTATGGCTTCGTGCTCGCTCATTGCGTTCTCGAAGCTCCACAACTCGTTCACCATAGCTTGTCGAGATTCGAGTCATTTTGATGTTTCCTCGACAAGAATTAAAAGAGGTGTCATTATCCACATTATATTCACGTGTCCATTTTGCAATTATCCACGCCAGAAAAACAAGAGAGCAAATACAATCATCACCATCTCCTCGATTTAAGACATGCTCGAGCAATGACATGCTTAAATATTATGAATAATCACTTCAAGCAAAATTTCGCGTTTTCACATAAAAATCCAAATAAGAGACTCTGAATATATCCAGATACCAAATCATATCATCCTAATTTATCTCCTCGAGCCCACCAATAAAAATTGATAAATGCACCAAATACACGTCAAGTATTATCACGAAGTATCCTCGACTCAAAATCACGACCCACATTTATTCTCAAATAAGCTCTCCACGATTAAATCAAATAATATCTCCACAAATAAGCTAAATAAACTTCACGAATATATCAAATATTCTCTCGAGCAAATCAAATATCGCCATGAATCAGTCACATAACATCTCGGGCAAATCAAATAAATCTCCTCGAACAAACCGAATATTACCACGAATAAGTCATATAAGCTTCACGTATAAACCAAATAATGTTCCACCAATAATCCAATGATCTTCATGCATAACTCATATAATACTCCCCAAATAAATCAAATAAATTCATCGAACCAATCAAATAATACTCCAAGAATAATTCCACTAGTACTCCACCAATAAATCAAATATTACTCCCATTATAAATCAAATATCTCCACGGATAAATCGAATATCACCACGGGCAAATCAAATAATATCTCGAGCAAGTCACATAATTCTTCTCGAACAAATCGAATAATGCTCCACAAATAAATCAAATAATACTCCACCAATAAATAAAATAGGCTCCACGGATAAATCACATAATTTCGCCCGAATAAATTGAATATATTCTCCACGAATAAATCAAATAATATTGACGAATATATTAAATATTCTCTCCAAATAAATCAAATAATATCCTCGAATCAATCAAATATTTCCACGAGTATATTCAGTAATGCTCCACAAATAAATCAAATGATTTATCCAATTTCATCAATTTAAAATTCCCTTGAGCCCAAATTAAGATAAATTGCATACCTTTATCACGAGAATTATACCTCAAATTACCTCACTCGGGTTCAAACTAGGGATATTTGAGCTCCATGGGTCGCAATGGAGATGACAAGCCTTGGAAAAATGTCTTTGGGCCGCAAAAAATGTCTCTGGGCCTCTTTGGGCCGCAAAAGGGGCTGCTGGGTCGGGCTTAGGGGCAGCAGGGGCGCGGGCTCATGCGCGGGCCTGGCGCGGGCTCACAATCGGGCCGACATTACAAGGCGTGCGGGCCACGCGGGCTGGACACGGCCCGCGTGTATTCTCCTCCCCTAGCGCGAACTGGGCTGCAAGTGAAATGTTTGGGCCGCAAAGTAGGTTGCCTTCCTGGGCCACGCGTTGGGCTCCACATGGACATGGCTGGATCGTAGACTCTGGGCCGTTGCGCTGGGCTTCGCTGGATGGGCAGTTGACGCGGGCTGAGGCTGCCATGAGCTAGCTGCTCGAGCTCTCTCCTTGCTCTTGCTCGATCCACCCTTACACTCCGGCAAAAAAATACCAGAAAAGAGCTGCCGGAAAATGTCGCCGTCTCCGGCGAACACGACCGTCCCATGGTGCGACCCGGCAAGGAGATTTCAATGATACCATTACTTTGACGTGATTCGCCGAAAATCGCTGGAAAATCGAAGGAGATAACTGGATTTTGACCAAAATTCTCCTAGATCCAGGAACTTTGACCATAAAATTGACCAACTTCCCGAAGGAATTTTTGCTTGAAAATTTAAGGTCGAGACGAGCATGAGAAGAGCTTCACGGTGATGTAGAGATTTTCCTGATCGGAGAATTTTTCACGGTGGCTGGTGGCGGAGGCGGCGGCGGCCGGCGGCTTCCGGCGGCGGCGTCCGGCGAAGGTTAGGCTCTATAGATTCGTCTCGTCGAAATGATTCTGGTGGTACCCTCGGATTTTCAATAGCCCTCACGGATCGTCGGGAAAATGCATTTGAATGTCCTATTTTGACCAATTTTTTGGTAGATCTGGAAACTTTGACCGCAAAATCGACGGCCTTCTCGGAGGAATTTTTGCATGAAATTTTAAGGAGAGATCCACCTCGAAGAGATCTATCCAATGACGTAAAGAATTTCCCGATCGGAGCACGTTTTCCGGCGGCCGGCGGTGGCGGCGGTGGCGGCGACCGGTGGAGAAGAAGGAGCTTGCTAGAAGATTTCTCGAATTTTTTGGTCGGAACTCCGTTTGACTTTTTAACGGGTCCCACAGACGGCGCCAATGAAGTGAATAAGATTTCACTCGGGCTCCTTCGACTCGGTCGGCCTCCGTACCTGCAAGAACCCAACGCCGGGAGGGGTCCCGGCGTCGGGCCTCCGACGCTCAAGTCAGAATCACTCCAAATCTGAAGAGTATAATTATGAATGTCCAGAGAGTGTGAGAATGGAATACCTTAGCCCCCTTTTATAGGGGGAGTGTACCTTATGGCCCAAATTGGGCTTGTCCAATAGCGTCGTGCCACGTGTCCTAGCCATGTGTAGGCATATTCTTCAATATATTCCTCTCTTATCCATTAAGACTGGCCTAGTATATAATATCCTATATCAACATTCAATTGCAGTACTTATCCGTAATGACGTCTCTAGACTTCCTGATCGATATATATTACATAGATGGAGAAGGGATGTCAGGAGACCATACACGAGAATTGCCTTGAAATATGATGGATTGAGGAATTCTCCGAGTCAATTGAGGTACGACAATTTATGCACAGCTTTTACCAAGGTCGCAGACCTTGCTGCAGATGATGAAGTTTGAGCCGTGGATTCAATTGCAAGCACAAGAACTTTTTATGTTAAAACTTACTGGTGAAAAAATATTCACGACGATCCTACCGGTTTCAAAACTCCATGTAGCGTTGACGTTGGAGACCCAAATTTGACAAAAAAAAAGGGTGCACCAAGAAAACTTCGGAAAAGAAGTCCGTTAGAGTCGACTTCGAATAGGAAAACGAAGAAGAATGAGGTATCTTTAAGTTTATTAATAATGTTACATGAAATGCTAAAATAATCACTTTTTTATTATTGTTTTATGTATTTGCAGGAACCTTCAACTAATAGAGGAAAGAGACTTACAAAAGAGATAAAAAAGCAAACAAATGAGCCAAAGGTCTAATTTTGTCATTAATTCTTGATTAATGTTAAAAATCACTTCATTCGAAAAAGTTAAGATAAAGTTTATGTTCCTTGTTTGTATTAGAATGTTTTCTTTTAATTGTGTTGTGTTTTTCTTTTTCATTCTGTAAGATGTTGGAATTGGAGACAAGAGCTGAATTTGAGGTGGAAAATCAATCTTTCGTGAAGTTATTAACGGAGACAACAAATTTTACGTCCAATTCTCAAGGTTAAATCAATTTATGAATATGTTAATTTCTATGCCATAATGTATATGTTTAATTATTCAACCTTATGTTGTTGTTATTATTATTATTTTTTTTTGTAGGTAATGTGATTCAACAGTATTCACCATATCAAATGGGGGATGGGAGTGTTTGAAGACAATTGGATAAAATGAGGTTTTGGTCATCAAGTTGAGAAGAAAATCTTTGAAGTTTAGTGTTTGATTTTGTTGGTAGCTAGTGGATATTGAATTGTTTCATGCTGAGTTTTTTTCCATAGTATCTGCTTTGTTTCTGTGTTAAAGTTTCTTCTTTAGTGTCTGTTGCTTTTAATTTCACTCTTTGTAACCTTTATTTCCAGTTGTAAAAAGATTAGTCATACTTGGTGATGTTTTTCTGATTTTCTTGTGGAATTTTATGTTTGTCTTTTGAAAATAAGCAGTAGATAACCCCCAAACTCCCTTGTGGAATTCACTTGTGGAATTTTCAGTTAGGCCTTTATGCTCCCCTTGTGCTCCCTGTAACATTCCTCAACCACTTACATTGAAATGCAAATATGACCAACTTACCATACAGTAGGTAAATAATATAGGAGAAAGTATTATTATTACTTAATTGATGAGGTTCTTGCAGAAAGAGTTGTGAAGAGATAGCAGATTTCATATTAGAGAATCAAGAATCAAGAATCAAGAATATGTCCAAACACTGCAGAAAAACTAGTATTCAGAATCAAGAATCACTATTCTACTTGAGAAAAAAAAAATAACAATGACATTTAACATGTCCAAACTCTGCAATAAGACATCCCAATACAAAACAACCTCTGCATTCATCACAGAATATGTTTACTGCTTCTCTTGAAAATCACTATTGTACTTTACCAGCGACTCCTTCACCAGCTCCGACAAGAATTTCACCAGCCCATTGAGCGCCTCCCTCTTACACTGGGCCCTTCACGGGTCCGCTCCTCCTCATGCCCACCACCGTGCTCAACAGGCGCAGCCCCCCGGTGGGTCCTAGCCCCATGGACGACACGACCAGCCCATTGTCCCGACAAGCCCGTCTGCAAGGGCTATCTGCCCGGGACCAACACGAAATCGAAGGCCCGAGCTTGGTCGTCTTTTGGAGAATCGGCCCCGAACATGAGCGTGGCCGTCTTTCGGAGCTCCATCCGCCGCAGATGGCTGCTAGGGCGGCGAGCACGACGGATTGCAACAGATTTCACCCATCAAGAATTGAAGATCGAATTTAGGAATTTTGGGATTGAGGGGTTAGGGATTTTGGGATTGAGGGGTTTATTGCCATTGAATGACTGATCTTTCTTTGTGTTTGTTAATGCCACACTACTTTTATTAATGCCACGTTAGTTTGTAAAGGAAAGTTGTCAACATGTGTTGTACGTGCAGCGGGACTGTTCTAACAAACTATTTTAAATTTTGTTGCTCTTGAGAATGTAACTATAAATCCATGTTATAATTGTAACAAACTACTCGCTAGTTTAAGGTACTGAAAATCAAACAAACGATCCACATAACAAGATTTCATCCTCCCATTCCCATATTGTTCTTCTCTCTCACTGCCATGGTTTTTTTCTCCACCATTAATTCTCCTCATATTTCTCTCCTTTACCCTTCATTTTCTTTGTTTGACTCTTTCATTTTCTTTATGTTCCCCACTATTTCTCACCAACAAAGGGGGAAAAAAAAAAATACAATAACGCTAATAAAGATAAAATCTTTTCTCTGGACACTCTGCTGGTTCATTTATTAAATCAAGAAAAATGAGGAAAGTGGTGGTTGGGGCGGCGGCGATAGGAGCCGCGGCGGTGGTGGGAGTGGCGGCGGTGGTGGTGAGGCAGCGGATGAAGAACTCCAGCAAGTGGGCCCGGTGTATGGCTATCGTGAAGGAATTTGAGGAGAAATGTGGGACCCCCGAGTGGAAATTGAATCAGCTTGCTGACGCCATGACTGTGGAGATGCACGCTGGTTTAGCGTCCGAGGGTGGAAGCAAATTGAAGATGCTTATTAGCTTTGTTGATAATCTTCCCACTGGGTAATTCGGTTTTTTTCTTTTTTTCGATTATTATGATTTTTATTTGTTTGTTTATATCACAATGCCTCCAAGGATTTATATTCCAAATTTCCATATAGAATTCATTGTTTGCTTGGCTATTGTCCGTTGTTTCTTGTGAAGAATGATTAGAACAGTTCATTTGTATCTATTTGAACTTGAAAGTTTGTTACTTCTAGCATTGTATTACGAAAGCTACTGATGAAGAAATGTGGTCCAATTTTCGTAGTGCAATAATGGATGTTGTCTTGCAGAATTTTCTTTAATTAGACAAACTAAAAACATTTGTCAGTTTACTTGCTCATATTAAAGTAAGAGTGTGTGTGTGTGTGTCACAAATGCTGGTGTAAATGTTGGATGAACATATACACACTTGATTTATGTATCCCTTTTCTGTTAATCGACTATCACAAAGAATGTGGATGTGTTTCGTATTGTTATAGTGGTATCTGGAAAGTTGGATGGCAGTTTAGTTAATGTTCGTGTAAGAGCCAAACTGAACTTGGTTTGCTCGACATTTCGGATTTATGATCCTAAATCTGGTAATGCAATTTGATTAAACCACTTTATTTTGAGATTATCTTTGTGTATGATCTCAACTTATTCTAAGTTTTTAGGAATCTACCGTTATAAAATAGAGTGCATGGAAGCTTGCATTTTTTTTCAATGACGTAGATTTAAATATGCACATTCTTTCAATGAACATAGTATGGATGAAAGATCTTTTAGATCACTGCCGAGTTTAAGTTTATTTAATTATGTCTTTGTGCATATGATGCTCAGTTGCTCCTGTTGTCTGTGGTTTAACAATTAAATCTAAAAATTTAATTGTATCACCATTTATCTGTTCTTAGTGATGAGAACGGAGCTTTTTATGCGCTCGATCTTGGCGGCACAAATTTCCGTGTGTTGCGAGTTCAGTTAGGTGGCAAAGAAGGTGGAATTGTTCATCAGGAATTTGCCGAGGCATCAATCCCTGAAGAATTGATGTGTGGAACTTCAGATGTATGCCATTATGTATCCGTATTAATGTGAAAATATATTACCCCCGTGCTTTAGCTTAATTACTATAGTCATCTCTTTAAAACTTCAAATACACTCACGACAAGTGTTTTTATATTACAAACTGCATCTCGTGAGGAGGCAATCAAGGGAAAAAAAATATAGGGCTATTTGTAATCATAAGTGGTGATTATTGTTATATATTTTTCGGAATAGTCTGAAACTCAAAAACAGTTCGTGCAATTATCTTGGTTTTAGTCTCTGTTTTGTTTCATTTCTTTCAAGATCACTGAACTTTGAAGCTCAAATGCTTTCAGGAACTGTTTGATTATATTGCGGAGAAACTTGCAAAGTTTGTGAATGAAAAAGAACAAATATTTCACGATCAACCTCCTGGAAGACAGAGGGAGTTAGGCTTCACCTTTTCATTTCCTGTGATGCAAACTTCTATAAATTCTGGAACTCTTATTAGGTGGACAAAGGGCTTCAATGTTAATGGCACGGTATAATTTTCTCTTAATCAACATTCTTACTTTCATAGTTTTATTTATATTTTATTTGTTTATACTTAGAATGCTATCTGCCATATCTATTTTCTCTTTTCATGTTGGCTACAAGTAATGACTTTTCATGCTATTACTGGGTAAATTTCAAACTTAGTCCTCACTGGCTGTGTATAATTTGGCATCAACTCATTAAATATTCTATATAAATGTTTTTTGGATGTATATACGGTGCAATTTGTCGATAAGGCAATAAACTTTTGTTTTTNTTTTAGTGCTTGTGTCCGTAAATATATTTTCCAAGTGTCAGACAAATGAAGGATTAAATTGAAATCTTATTAAAGTTTTGGTAAGTTGATCAGTCAATATGGTGTAAGCGACCGTCCTAATAGATGCACGATAAGTTCTACTATTTCCTAAGCAAATCTTCATAATTAATTATGCCTACACATTTAAAAATCTCTTCCAACACTAAGATATATATTTAAACTCTCTTATCTTCAAGAAATCAAGAAAATTACCGCCTTCATTTTGACCATGATGATTATCTTTATTTCTTTACATTGTTGCATAATTTTCACATTAGCTTGTATATATTCTCTTGAATTCATGTACACATGGAATGTTCTTAAAGGGAAGTTGTTTCCTGTTTCATGCCAGGATGAACCCACTTTTTACTCGATGCATGGTCGAACACGAAAGTGATGCTTATCTTTATTCTGGAATATCCTTAATTTGCAGCTCCTAAATTTTGAAGTCACCAAAATCCTATGTTCCTTAGATTTTTGTTAATGTTTGTAGGTTGGCCAAGATGTGGTAGGTGAACTAACCAAGGCATTGAAAAGAAAGGATGTTGACATGCGGGTCGCAGCTCTGGTGAGTTTTACTTCAGTTTCTACTGAAGAGATGAAAGCTTACGGATAATTACAAAAGCTACCCGATATTTAGCTTCATTGCAAAATAAATAAATCATTCAAAATAATAATAATAATAATAATTATCTTTCTAGATTACAAGCAACTCCGCATGGTTTTATTTTTCTTACAAATCAACACACACACACACATAATCGTCGCCTATTCAATTAATGTCATTTTTGTGCCCTTTTTTTCATTTTTTTCATTTACTTGTGAAAAGTAATCGTTACATTTTGCAATAAGGGCAATAATATTTTTTTTTTAAACTATTCTATCATGCAATAATGCAATAACTACTACTGATAAATTATAAATTCACATTAAAAGGTTTATGGAAGTTACACATTTGTAAAAAATCTTGGGCAACTTTTTTTTTTTTTCAAGCTATTTATTTTAAAATGGACATTATCTTATTTTGTCCATTGCAAATGGAGCTGGAAGAATTCTCCTGGCATAGTGCTAATAATGGACTAGATCAAAATGGCTCAATTAAATTCTAGTGCTTCTTCTATTAGTGATGAAGTTTCTAGAAAAAAAAAATATATCAAACGGCACAATGCACCTTGGGTCGCTACGGAAACAACCTCCTTGTATAATTACAAGGGTAAGGTCTGCGTACAACTGACACCCCAGACCCCAACCTGTTGGGAATATACTGGGTATGTTGTTGTTGTTATTTGTTGTTGGATATTATCTTATTATTTTTATCTCATTAAGCAATTTTTTTAGATAGCTAATTGGTTTGAATGTCATAACAAACCCTTTAAAATCAGGTAAACAACCCCATTACAAATTAAAGTGATTTGTTAAGTCTGTTGTTTTACTTCCTTATTTAGAACTTTGATTTTGGCCAAGTTTATAAATATCGTGAAATGCCTGCATTGTGCATTAAAAAAGAATTTTATAAATTTAGTCATCAAATCAACACCATTAAAGCCATTTGGTACGATATATTGAATCACGACATTTGATCAATGAAGATGGTTTGAACTATGCATTTTCTCTGCATGCTATGTGAGATGGCTCTAGGGACAAAATGAAAATAGCATAGCTTAGGCTTCATGCACAACCATTAAGAAGTTGTGCTATAATGTGTAACCATGGTTAATTGGACATTTACTGTACAGAAAAACAAAGGGAAATATGCATCAACTGCCCCAGAGAAAGAAAAAGAAACCTCATGCTTGAATATGCATAAACTCGACTACTCTTTTTGGCCACATTTTAGTTATTTTACGTTCGTTATGATTTATGACGCAGGTTAATGATACAATTGGGACATTAGCTGGAGGACGATATAACAACAATGATGTAACTGTAGCAGTGATATTGGGCACTGGGACTAATGCAGCATATGTCGAGCGTGCGCAAGCAATTCCAAAGTGGCATGGGCCTTTGCCTAAATCTGGGGAAATGGTTATTTATATTCTTTTATTCGTAAAAGAAAGTTAAAAAGTTACAAAAAAAAAAAAAGGGAAAATATTGAAGTGTGCTCTATTGTTACTGATTTTAGGTTGTAAACATGGAGTGGGGCAACTTCAGGTCTTCACACCTTCCTTTGACCGAGTACGACCATGCATTGGATATTGAAAGTGTAAATCCTGGCGAACAGGTAGGATATAAATGCACATATCTTCTTATGTTTTCCAAAATTTCAACTCCATTGTATGGTTTTAATAATTATGAAGGTTACGCGAAAGGATTTGTGTTTGTTTTCAAATTATCCTTCAGCGGGTCACATTTTGTAAAAACAGAATCATATGTCTCTGTATTCGTATTTTCCTAGTATGACCGGACTTGTATTTGTAGTAAGAAAATGTCTAAGGGTAATGTTAAAGGTCTCATATTCGAGCAAGTAGAGAATGAACATCTATGCTTATTCAATCAGTTTTTTGATTGATTCGTTCTTATATAATATTTGATGATGATATGTCTGACATGATTATTATTGTTGTTGCATACAGATATTTGAGAAGATGACTTCCGGAATGTATTTGGGTGAAATTTTACGCAGGGTTTTACTCAAGTTGGCCGAAGAAGCTTCCTTTTTCGGCGATGATGTCCCGCCAAAACTTAAGACTCCATTCATATTGCGGTACTCCTCTTATACTTTTCTTTCCGTAGTTTGATTTATCATAATTTTCCGTTTTTAACTTAAAAAACATCTATATCGACTTACCTAGTGCTGTAAACGAACCGAACCGAGCTTGTGTTGTTCGAGCTTGTGTTTGTTTACGTTGGAACAGTGTTCGTGTTCGTTCGTTTATTTTTCGAGCAAAAAATCGTGTTCGAGTTCGTTCGTTTATTTTTCGAGCAAAAAATCGTGTTCGAGTTCGTTCGTTTAATTGTTCGTCAAAGTTCGAATTCGTTCGTGTTCGAATTTAATACATATACTTTTTAAATATGTTTGATTAACTCGAAATTTGTTCGTTCGAACTCGAAAATTAAAGAATAAAATAAAAATATTTTCTATTCTAGATTTTTTATTAAAAATATTATGTAACTATATAAAAAATAAAATAAAAATATATTAAATTAATGTTCGCGAACATAATCGAACGTTCACGAGCTCGTTCGTTCTATTATTAAACGAGCCTAATTTTCTGTTCGAACTCAGCTCGATTAACAAACGAACGGGCTTTTGTTGAACACGAACGAGCTCGAACGAGCTTTTGTTTGCGAACGTTCGGTTCATTTACATCTCTAGACCTTCCATCTCAATATTATGCATATCCACGTATGTTCTTGGTGGCCATGTCTATTGTTTTATAAATTATTAATGCTCGTGAAAAGAATCCCAAA